TCAGGGTTTTCAGGGTTTAGGGTTCAGGGTTTAGGGTTTAGGGTTCAGGGTTTAGGGCTGTGAGAGGTATCGGATATGGTAAGATCTTCGGACTGAGTCGAAGGCTTCTTTAGGATTTTGTGGGGCCCGCGGAAGGCTTTAAGGCCTCGGGGCGAGTTTACTCAGAAAGCACTGTCGGACTGCACGGCTTTGGGGGAGGCGGCGACTTTATGTTACGAGGGTTGGAATGGCAGATGTTTTTTGAAGGTTTGGGGCCAAGTGTCTAGTTGCAGCTTCGGGGCTATTCACGGCACTGCGTTCGTCTGTAGCCTCTGTCCTCAGGGTCAATGCTGAGCATCTACATTAAGTATCATGTGGGGTGCAGCGCAGTGCCTCCAAGCAGTGCAAGGAGCATGCTATCGTGGGACACCAACTTTCCAAGATGATGACCTTCAGATCAATCAGTTCTGCAACATGCAAAAAATTCTTAGAATCCTTTAAAGGGCTCCCCTATAGCTAAGACCCAACATCTGAAACCCCAAAATCCGACACAAACCCTAGTCTTCAACGGAAATCAAAGGCAGAGAACCCGGTCCCCCTCGACGGTCTCGGGGTTTGCCTCCCGGCGGCCGATTGGAAAACCTAAACCTAAGGGTCCATGTACCCAAACAGCATATACTTTGGCCTTAAAGTAGTCCCTATATAGGTACTTTGGGGCCAAACTATATACTATTAGGGTACATGGACACTTAGGGTAAACCCAAAGCGAAGCTTAAGCTTCGGGGGCCTGGATCTCATCCGAAGCCTTCCACCCTCCGAACCTATATCACCTATATATGAATCAGGATCTCCACGCATGAGCCCCAAACCAGAGACGTTCAAACTCACAGGGGATGGCCCCAAAGCACTCAGCCCTCACAGTTGAACCCCACACTCAGACCCAGGTGGCAACAAGTGCCAAATGTCGTGCCAAATTTCGTGACCTTTGTGGGATCAAGTCTGCGTCTCGCACAGGGCACACGGCACATGGAAGGCTCAGGTTGTTAAGGTTTTTGCATGTAGGTGAGAAATTTCATGCAGCCTTTCCGATGTAACAGGGACTGATCAAATCGAAAGTGGCAAGATGTGAAACCTGGCCTCAGCCTTAAGCTCACCCAAAAATCTGCAATGGCTCTGCATGTCCGCAAACCCCGAAAACCTCTACATCCTACAGACACTCAAAACCCCCAAAAGCTAGTGAGCCCGCCCTGAATCCTACGAAACCCTAAAAGCTAAAGCCTGAACACGAAAACGCTGAACACACCCTAAAAACCCAACACCTAAGTGCCCCACTTGCTAGAAGGTATTGGCAATGTGTACCCTATGTAAGTACAAGTCATATTTCATGTAAAGGTTGTGTAATCTAAATAAATTAACAAACAAATAAATACATATACACATAGCTATAGATATAGATATAGATATAGATATAGATATAGAATCTACGCGTGCAGATCCACACACACACATATATATATATGCACACACACATACATACACACCTATGTATGTATGTATGTATGTATGTATGTATGTATGTATGTATGTATGTATGTATGTATGTATGTATGTATGTATGTATGTATGTAATGTATGTATGTACACACGCTTATATGTACGCATACATAGTTTAATGTGACGTCGTGGTAGACCCGTCTGTATAACAGGCATGTGCAAGCCGCTCTTGCCTTCTCGAACTGCTCCTTACCTGCGGACGTGGGGTTCGGGCCGTAGCAGGTTACCTTTGCCAGCATGGCTGCAAGCAGCCTGCATGTCTGTGCCCCGCCTGCGAACAGCCGACCATATTCTCAGTCTCATGAACGATAGATGCTCATGCAGGTTCATCAAGCTATTAGAGCCGACGCATTACTGCCAGGATCAGGTAGCCCATGGACAAACCCTGCATCCACCTAAGAAGCTAACTCTCAAGGTGCTTCTGGCTTTTTTCTGCAAGACATCTATGTTGGCATACGGAGAGTTGCACCCCGAGAACGAAACAAGCTAGGCCGCAGGGTGTTGAAGATGTAGGTTCCAGGCTGACTGCGCCAAACCCTCCAGAAACCCTAAACCCTATAAGCCCTTAACTCTAAACCCTAAATCTCTAAACCCTGAACCCTAAACCCTAAACACTAAATCCCTGAACCTTAAACCCAAAACCCTAAACCCCTAAACCCTGAAGCTCCTAAAATACACAAACCTCTCGCGAGGCTCGGGCTCATGAGGGCCATCGGGGTCTCCTTCATCTCGCGCAGACGAAGAAGCAACGTGTCCTGAAGGGCTTAGGGTTCTGGGTTTTTTATTTGGGGTCTAGGTTTTGGGGTGTAGGGCTTTGGGTTTCGGGTTTAGGGTCTAGGTTTTTAGGGTGTAGGGCTGTGGGTTTCGGGTTTAGGGTTCTAGGTTTTGGGGTGTAGGGCTGTGGGTTGCGGGTTTAGGGTCTAGGTCTTTGGGGTGTAGGGCTTTGGGTTTCGGGTTTAGGGTTCTAGGTTTTTAGGGTTTAGGGCTTTGGGTTTCGGGCTTAGGATGTAGGTTTTAGGGCTTAGGGTGTAAGGTTCTCGCCGAGTTCTCGGCTGGCTCTCAAGGCATATTATGCTGGGCCTAAGAAGCGGGATATGATTGAGGATAGTGCGCGCCCACCATAAGCACAAATAGTACAGCATCTATAGGAACGAACAAGCCTGACGACTTCGGCGTAAGGCTTCGAGATTGAGGTCAGGAGTCAGGACTACGTGATTCCGGGGAAAGCAATGATCAAGTCCACCGAGAATCGGCGCTACGCATGCTCAGGTTTCGGCATCGGGCTCCCCAGCACACTGGCCAATCAAGGGAGGTACTGCAGGGGTATCATGATTTACAACGCAGAGAAAGAATTGGCTCTGCTTCAGTGTCTTCTGGTTCTCAAGACCGGGTCTGCGGGAAGCTCGTAAGGAGCTCTCAAGTCAAGGGAGCGTGTGCTAAAGAATTCATGGCTTTGGCTTTTCAGGCCTCGACCCTGGTCGCCTAAACCTCCCCGTTGTCCTCAGAAGAAACTCAGAAGCACCCACCCAACACACAGACACACAGACACACACACACATGCAAAAAAAAAGCATGCTCCTCCGACATGCGCACCACGTCCGCGATCTCCTGGCAGACAAAGAGAAGAAACCATCATCCTCTGCACTCAGAACCCTAAACTCCAAACCTTCAAATCCTGAAAACTACACACCACAACCACCCACTCCGCACCCCCAAGTCTCAAACCCTGAACCCTCAACCCTAAATTCT